CCACTACGCACAATCATCCACCAGAAAATGACAAAACAGCTCACAGGCACAAGATTTGTGGGGAGTTGAAGAGAAAGGCAGAGGAAAATCTTGAGGAAAGACCATTAAAAATAGCATGCACAGTGGCAAACAAGTTTGAGGCCCATGATTTTTGTCATTCCTAAAGAAATCGACCGTACAATGCTGTCAGCGATACATGCGCCGTTCTAATATACCTTCCCTGTCAGTACTATAAATCTGAAAACTACGCCGTTCCGATATATCTTCCCTGTCAGTACAATAAATTTGAAAACTACGCCGTTCCGATATAACGCCTCAGCTTTCCCCTTCTCACCTCTCTCGTCTCAACAGCATAAAGTCTGCTTCGGCTATCAGTATCAAGGAACCCCTGAAAATGGAGTTCACAAGAGAGTGATAAGCATACAAAAAGTAGGGGGAAATGACGATAGTTAGGATTTAATAAGGAAAGGAAAAGCAGCAGTTCCCCCTATGTTGTTCCGGCACAGTATGAGCATGACATTGATAAATCAGCCCATTAAAAATTCTACTGTGTATAAGAACATGTTACTTCCCTGCCCCCCCCCCTCCTACCCTCCCCACCTCCACTTTCTAAACCTTGCCACCGGCAGAGACCCGATACTGGAGATCTTTAGTGACAGTGATGGGCTCCCACAGGTTTCAGCCCCACAGAAAGCCTTGAGCTCTTTCTTTTCTCTGTGCGGTCAAAGAGCCCCCTAAAAAGATACTCACGGGAATGTGCCTGTAAGCGTTGAGCTGAGATTGGTTTGGGTTTCAGCACTGCGAGGCGGCCTTGAGTGAAGGTATTGCTATTCCAACCACCTTCTCGAGTTTAGCCAAAACAGAGAGAGAGAGAGACAGACAGACAGACAGACAGAGAGAGAGAGAGAGAGAGAGAGAGAGAGAGAGAGAGAGAGAGAAAGAGGTGGGTAGAAAGAGAGGGAATTATTTATTTACCAGATTTTTTCAAAGTATTAATTGTTTAGAAGAAAATCCATCGTCTTCGGGTTTTACACTTTAATCTTATTTTTCATAATTACGTCTCACCCTTCTGAAAAACTCAAATGGGGCAATTTACGAGAACTCTTCATTAGATATTTCTAGAATGTTTTGTTTGATTTTGCTTTGAGCGATGAATAGCCTTCATGATATGTAAAAGCAAAGACCATTCTTTCTTGTATATAACAAAAGACCGAACAATAGTCGATGATGCGTTTGACGATTTCGGCATCGATAATGTCAGAGATATGAAAAACCTCATGTTATTCCTGCGCTGTTGTATCTGCTGTCCCTTCTGCTGCTGCTGCTGACGGCATTATTACTCCATACATGGAATTAGCAGGCTTATATTATGTCTGATCACCAGCAGACTAAAAGACAGTAGGGGAACATTTCGAACTATCACACAGAAATCAGTAAAATATATTTTTGTTTTTCATAGTGTGCATCTTGTAGCCTGTCTTTCCGAGTGTCATAATGTTGCGTGTTTCGACTTTCAAAACTTCTAAAACTTTTACTTTCAAAACCCGGAGCAAAAAGTGCACTGACGTACACTCTGGTATCGTCTGGTGGACCATTTCATCAAAAAGTAGTTCGTGACTGATTGGACCTTCTTAGGACAATTTTCTCCAATCTTGATGGGCTCTTTCCTGTTTACTTGCCCTCCTTCGTAACTCAAAGGCGCAGCAATGCTGTCCTGATTTCCACGCTAATTTTTTTCTGTTTACCTGAGATTTTGTCTTTGAAGCAGAATGGCGACTTTAGGGTGTGGGCGATGGGGTGGGGGGGAGTAGAGGACGGAACATAGATGCTCAAACTTAACATTTTCTTCAGTATTATCTTTCGAAATAATTTGCTTTGTGCCTTGGCTTTCTATCAGGAAATTAACGTGGGGAAAAGAATTAAAGGTATAAAAATACAAGTGTTTAAAAAAGAAATTAATAAGTTGATAAATAAAACCAAATTAGTAAGATGGAAGAACAGATTAAATCATCAAAGACAGAATTTCAAATTCTTGCTTCGTAAAAAATGGAAATCTGGGACTCTTTCCCTCTCGTCTTCAGATATAATTGAAAGCACGATGTAAAAGAAGTTGCCGAAAAGTGACTGAAAATACTAACGTTTACAGTTCTTGTTGTCCTGATCGATGTTCTCTGGAAGGCTTAGTACAGCAGTGGTGGGTGTCTGGCAGAGTCGACCACAGGGTTGCGAAGGACTAAAGTAAATGTTCACCCCCCCCCCTTTCCTCCCCAAAAATTTCTAAAGTAAATTAAACGAGTGTGTCGCGTATGACGTCACAACGACACGAAATTCGCCTCAAGAGAGAATGGGAACCCAGGATGTGCGTACAAGTTCAAATACGTCCTGAAAGGAAGGCGAAAGTTTACTTCCACCCCTTTCAGTAGAATGCAGGACGAGACCTGCTGAAGGGTTGAGTCTGAAATCTTCGGACAGGGGAGGCCATAACAGTAACGGCCAATCGATATTGCCCAAAGTAAGTTAGATCAAGTACAGCAAAGTAGCGAAATTTACCGGAACCAGAAGGGCGGAAAGACCACTTCATTAGTGACGTAATCAGATTAACTCGGCTGAGTCTACCCGGCCCTTGGTCGTTACACCCCGATGAAATTTGTGTCGCGACGCAGGGGTATCAGGTGCTCGTCAATTTAGGGGCAGATGGATCGAGTTACTGATATCATCGTATGCTTGTTCGCTTGTTTTGTTTTAAATCAGAAAGAAACCAACGTTTATCTTGAATTTTAGTATTGATATATGCCATTGAAGATGTGGTAGTCGCCTTGTATCAGGGGGAAAATCGGTGAGAAAATGGCCGTGAAAGTTCGTTACACCCAAAGTTTGAAAGTCTTTGGAAACTGAAGATCTACATAATCTGTCGTACCGATCTAAACATTTTCCCAGTGAAATCCACAAAGGAATGCAATGGACACTGAAGGTATTGAGGCTAGAAAAAAGATTAACATTCCAAACTGGACAACAAAAAAAAGCTGATTTCTTTGATTTTATTATTTTGACGAGCGCACGATTTCACCATGATGGAACTCATTTTCTCTGACATACTATTTGAGACACAAGGGTGTACTCGAAAAGCCTAATTGTAAGTGATTTCCCCTCTCTGAACTAACGGGAATATCGTGGTACGCAGACCTGTTGGGCGCCAACGCACTGAAATAACACGTAGTATGCATCATCATCATCATCATCATCATCATCATCATCATCATCATCATCATCATCATCATCATCATCATCATCATCATCATCATTGTTGTTGTTGTACAATATTTATTTTAACCCCCCCCCCCTAAACCCAATAATACCTTAAAGACAACGTATAGCTTTGACATTTTTAGTATATTATTAAAATAACTGTTCCCATATTAATGGTTCGTCAGGAACAAAACCAAAGAATAAATTCTACCTCTATAGGAACAAAATGGTTTGCAATGGTAAGTAAGGAACAAAGATGAAAAGAACTAAAGCTCAGAAAAACGACC